GGGCCTCTCACTGTTGTGGCCTCTCCCGTTGCGGAGCTCAGGCTCCGGACGTACAGGACCAGCTGCCATGGCTCATGGGCCCAGCCGCTCCGCGGCATGTGGGATCTTCCCTGACTGGGGCACGAACCCACGTCCCCTGCATCGGCAGGCGGACTCTCAACCACTGCGCCACCAGGGAAGCCCAAGAGCTCTATTCTTTACAACAATGGTTGCCCCCAAAAAACATACACAGAGCCTCCTCCTCACTCGTCAGGGCGGAGCGGATATTAGGAGGGCAGCATCAGAAAACATCCAAAAGTAGGAAGAAGAGGAACCCAATTACGCACTATGGAAAGGAGGGGCGTTGAAAATACTTTTTCTTCATTCAAACTATTTGTTTCCTAAGGGGATCTGAGTTTCAGTACCCAAACATGGCCAACACAGAAGGGGGGCTGTTTTTCTTACTGTTAGGCGTTTTCAGCTCAAAATAAGGACTTGGCAAACATCTTAGAAAATATGGCAAGTGGGTGTGAGACGGATGTCATGTTTACCTGCACGATACCCAGCAGGCTTCACCCGCCACCCACCGGCACCCCACGCAGTGGAATCCTCTTTGAGGCCCCGGGTCGGCGTCTGCGATGCCATATGCTCAAATGTGACGGCTCTTTGTAGAAACAAACCAGTTGATCTTCTGGTGGCTTCGTTTGAGGGGGTGCACGGGAGGCAGCTGCCTATGGTGTGTTTGGCCTCAGCAGGTGCCTTGGGGGCTCATCAATCCTGCCTGGCCGGGGAGGGGTCTGGTGAAGGCACCCCCTCTCCAAACTAGCATCCCCTACTCCCCTAAGCCTGGTTCCTGGGAGAGAGAGGACAGCTCCTTGCTGGAGGAACAGTCAGTCACCGTGCAAGGCCATTTCCCTCCCAGTAACTGACTACAGAAATGGGGACCAGAAGGGGAAGGCCCCAGGAGCCTGTTTGCTCAGGCTCGGTTGCTTAGCAACACAAGGGGCCCTGACTCCAGAAGGGATTTTTAAGCTAGGCCAGTCCCTTGGAGGTTTGTCTGGCTTGCCTACCCCTTCTTCCATTCTTACCTTGACTTTGCTTTTCCCCCTATTATATTTGATAGCATCTAGAAAAATTGATTTGATTTGTCTGGAGGCACCGTTTTAAACCTGGTTTTATTGCTTTGCCCAGTGTCTTCCCTTCCACTGGAGACTGTCATCTGGGAGGAGTGAGGAATGAATAGCCGATGGTTCTTTTTCTCAGCTGGCTTAGCTCAGGCCCCCAAGCTCATTTCTGAGCCTTTGAGCTCCAGTGAACAGTGCTTGGTCCTTCGCACCGCACACGCACACACACACACACACGCACACACACACGCACGCTGAAATTGCTCCAAGCACGGAGCCCTCTGGCTAACAGTTCTGTCCACCCACAACCATGTGGTTGGATTGTTTTTTTACCGCCAACTTCGGCCACAAAGTGAATGAGGAGACCAGGCTACTCACCTGGCCAAACCAGGTACAGTCTGCAAGTGAATGGCTGATTGGTTTAGGACAGCACCTGCACTAAAGATGTGTCTTTTGTGGAGCAAATAAAGGATTGGACCATAAGTAAAAGGAGTGGAATTCAAAGCCAAATCTGGTTTCATAAGTGTGAGTTTCTTGAGGTCCATGTGGGACTTGAGTGTGGATCCTGACTCTCCAGAAATGACTAAAAGGGTTGCAGCGTGCTTGGGGGGACAGAGGAAGGGACTAGGAAGAGAGACAGAGGGTGCCTTTGGTATTATCCTCTCTTTGATTTTTTTTTTTTTTTTTTTTTTTGCGGTATGCGGGCCTCTCACTGCTGTGGCCTCTCCCGTCGCGGGACACAGGCTCCGGACGCGCAGGCTTAGCGGCCATGGCTCACGGGCCCAGCCGCTCCCTGGCATGTGGGATCTTCCCGGACCGGGGCACGAACCCGTGTCCCCTGCATCGGCAGGTGGACTCTCAACCACTGTGCCACCAGGGAAGCCCTCAAATAGGTTTTAACAAGCAACGTGACTTCTATAATGGAAACTGCCCCCCGCAATGTATAATGTTTTGTGTATTTTGTTAAAATTCCTAAAGCAGACTCTATTTTGTATTTGTTTTGCAGGTGGAGGATGCAATGCTGATGTTTGATAAGACGACCAACAGGCACAGAGGTAAGGACCCCAGTGTGGGGAGGTTGCCCCTTCATCCTCTCCTGCCTCCATCTCTTCTCACCCCCAGTCCTGCAGACAAAAGATACAGTGACTGTTCCAAAATCAGGCAGGTGGAGGTGACGTGTGTTGTGGATCTCTATTAATAGAGGGCCACGATAGTGTGGAGAGTTGATACTGGACAGTTAAAACACCATTTCCTTTTGGCTTGGGAACTGTCATTTAATTATGCAGCCACGCCCAACACGTGTTCTGATACACTTTTCCAATACTTGCTTTCTTAGTCCTTGCTGAGCCACAGCACTAAGTGATCCAAGTGGAAATTATTCACAGCAGTTACTCAGTTGAGTTCTCAATTTGCATTGAAGTGGGGTGGTGAGAAGCACACTGTCGATCTAAAGAGCCCAAAAAAAAAAGCCTCATCCTAGGTTTATTTGATGTTTGATGTATACAATGAGTACAGACCTGGAAATGCCCTTTTGTGCCTCTTGGATGTTTGGAGGACATCTGCACTTCCTTGTATTTTCTCCTGTGCTTACTGTCCTGTCCATGTTTTGGAAAATGGGTTTCATCTTGGGGTCTAAGAACCCCTGAAATGACACGCGGGGTGTTTTATGTTTCTCTTGGGAGAGGCTTTCTAGCTTTGAATAGATTCTCAAAGGGGTCTCTGACCTCTGCCACCTCACCCCACCCTCCAAAGAAAACACAAACACATTGAAATTATTGCTTTAAACAGAAAATTGGATGACCCTAGAAAATCCTCCCCAGAGGAAGCAGAGTCAAAAGTTATGGTTTAGCGTTCCGCTCTCCGGAAGCTCCTGGTTTCTGGGGTTCCTATTCACGGGGCATTAATGAGCAGAGTTTCTGAAGGGGGGGTGGCAGGAAGCGGTGTTCTAGAGAGAAGGAGCCAGCGACCAGTGTTTCCTTGCCACTTGGATGGCATTTAGATGCTTCTTGTGTTGTTTACATTCTTGCTGTCCCCTGTGATTAGAAGCGGTTACCCAGTGCTGACTGCGTGTCTCCCTGTTCTGAGCAGGCAGGCTGAGCGAAAGGGAGGAAGGAGTGGGTGGGAAGTGATGCTTCCAAGGGTGGGGGAAGGAGGGGCTGTCCTGAGTGTGCCTGGGGAATCAAGCATCTCATGCATCCACCTACAGCATCCTTAAGAGGGAAAATAGAAAACTGGGCAGAAAACTGGGGCATCAGGGGTGTATGTGCTGGGGAAGGGATGGGGACGGGGTAGAGGATGAGGAGTTAGGGGGAGGCAAGGAGAGAAGAGAAGAGCTGACAGGTGTGGAATGATCGCCTTTGCTTCTGCAACGCTCTGGAGTGAGAGCAAGGTGGTGCTGGTGACGGGCGATTCTTGATGACCCTTGATCATCGTCTGCATTGCGTCGATCTTTATGGTTTTCCCAGTACTGCTTCCACACGCATCTTCTACCTTGATCTTCACAGCAGCCCCCGGAGGGGAAATCACTTAAGTTCCTTATGCCTCAGTTTATTCATCTGCAAAATGGACACAGTATGGGTACCTCCTTATAGGATTGTTTGGAGAGCGTAGTGCCAAGCACGTCAACTGTGCATAAATGTTAGGTATTATTATTATTACCATCATTATTATTACCATCACCTCCATTTTGTGGATGAGGTAACCACAGCTCAGAGGAGCAGGTGCCTTACATCCAGGATCAGAGAAGGGACTCACACCTAGGACAGCTGATTTCAAATTCTGCTCTTTTTTTTTTTTTTTTTTTTTTTTTGCGGTACGCGGGCCTCTCACTGCTGTGGCCTCTCCCGTCGCGGAGCACAGGCTCCGGATGCAGCGCAGGCCCAGCGGCCATGGCTCACGGGCCCAGCCGCTCCGCGGCTCGTGGGATCTTCCCGGACCGGGGCACGAACCCCTGTCCCCTGCATCGGCAGGCGGACTCTCAACCACTGCGCCACCAGGGAAGCCCTCACATTCTGCTCTTTGTTGTCTCCACGTGCAGCAGGTTTGTTGAGAAGGGTGTTTTCGTCCTCTTATTTTCAGGATGGGCAAGGCCCATCTGAACGTGGCACTGGTGTTCAGTGTTAGAATTCATAATCCTGGAAGATTCCTCAGCGGCTTCTAGGCAGTATTGTTATCATTCTTTTTTGAATATCAGTGAATAAAGGTATTTTTGATCTCTTGCTCTTGTGTCAGGCCCTGTGTTGGAGGAGATGACAGATCATCTCATTGAACCCTCTCAGCTGAGCCAGGAAAGAGGTTCGTCATCTGAGGGACCTGAGAGGGCGGGTCACCCTCCGTGTCAGGTCACTCAGCTGGTAACTGACAGAGCTGGATTCACACTCAGGACATCAGGCCCAGACACACTGCAGAGGAGGCGCCAGGGAAAGTTCTCCCCTGTTTCTAACGCAGATGCCTCCTGCTATGGTTGAAGCCTCTTCCCCTTCTCCAAGGGCACTGGGCACAGTGATGGGGTGGGCGTCCCTCTGTGACTGGGTGAGGGAAGTGTTTCCTGTTGTGAGCCTAAGGGAGGTCATCTGTGGCCCAGCACTCAGAGTAGCTTCAGGAACGTGGTCGCTCACTCCCCCAAGTCAGGACTCCTGGTGGCGATGGCAGGATGGAGGGCGGGCAGAGGCCCTGGTGCGTGCACGGCGCTGCCCCCTCCCCCAGCCGAGGCAGGGCCTGCCCTGCATCCTTCTGCCCTGCCCGCCTTTAAGATTCCTGTGGTCAGTGCAGGACCCCTTACATAATTCGTGGAGTCAACAACAAGATGAAAGGCAGGGCCTCTTATTCAAAAACTATCCAGAATTTCAAGATGACAGCAGAGCATTCAACCAAGAGTGGAGCCCTTCTGAGCACGGGGTGTATGTGACAGCTCAGGCAGCCCATCCAGGAAGCCGGCCTGAATGGATGCAGCCTGTGGCCGGCCTGATGCTGGGTGGGGCGGGGAAGAGAAGGCAGGAGGGACCGTGTGCCCAGAGGTTTCAACGGGAAGGACCTGACACCTGCTGCCCGTTTGCTCCTGTACAGAAATCTGCTCCCGCTGTCGCACCTGTGTCGGCGGGGGCTTTGGCCCATACATGCTTTCCAGCCCCTCCAAACAGCTGAGGAGGAGTTTCTCTCTGGACGGGGTGCTGAAGCTGGGGTAATAGTTCAGCGATCCAGAGCATTAGGGGAGGAACGAATTTTCTCTAAAGAAAGAACATATCACGAGAGAAGCACAAATCATAGATGTGGAGCCAGCAGGCCTCACAGCCCTGGCCTGATGGAATGTGCACTTGGGATCGGGAGATAAGCACAGGAAAATAAAGCCCTCCTGCAGCCACCTTGCCCCAACCTTTCCTTCACCTCCTCAGCTTCCTGTTTTCCATTATCTTATCAAGAGGAAAGTGCTGCCGGAGCAGAAGTTGAGGACACCTCTCTGGCTGGCACTGCCGCCAGCTTTCTGCTTAAAGAGGCCCAGACCATTAACCCCTCCGTGTCGTCAGGGCACTTGCTTAGTGCTTTCCGTCAACTTCTAACCCAGCCCCGTTGGGCAGCCTGGGCGGTGACTTGTCCTCTCTGCCCCAGGCATTTTGAAAACCACCTGTGTGCCCCTGAGCCGTGACCACTGCTGTCAGGAAAAACTCCGTGGCACGGGGCCTGGCCTTCTGGGAGTCAGGCCACACTTGCCATTAGGAGCCAGGGGTCGGGGCAGCATTTCCACTTCCTGCCCCACAGTGGCCGCCTCCTGCCCTGTCCCCGCTGGTCCCGTAGGCACAAGGGTGGCCCTCAGTTGCATCTGCACGGCAGCTTACTTCTCCTGTTCACGGAAGCGCCAGCCTGTGTTTCTTCCCACTTTACATCTGCACTCGGACCTCGGTAGCACCATGGGAAAGAGCCCAGGGGAGAGTCCAGCAGACAGTGAGCCCTCCAGGGAGGTGCATCCTCCATCCTGGAAGCAGGAAGATCGTTCAGCATCTGACTCTCACAGAAGTGTGGAGTCTTCCCACCTTCGTCCTTAGAGGGACCGCCTTCCAGCTTCTGCTGCCCCTTTGCGTTTAAGCCAGGGGCACATTTCCTAAGCTCTCTGAACCCCTCAGGCTCTGCCTCTGGAAAATACATGAACTGGGACCGCTGAGCTCCAGGACCTAACGTGTGCTTCTGGCTTTTAGCTTTTTAACTGGAAGTATGTCCCAGATTGTTTCCTTTTTCTAACTAGCGGAGGGGGAGCAGTTGTCTCCGGTAGGGGTCCCCGAGATGGGGCTGGGTCTGCAGGAGGGTCGTTGGGGATGCTCTTCACGGGGACTGGGCAGAGGGAGATGACAACCTGTGATGCCCTGGGGAGTTTGAAGAGAGGGTGTTCCTTCAGCTGCCCCATTTATCCCCGTGTGTTGATCAGTCATAGGAGGCAGCCCACCTGGGAAGCAGGTGTCATCTTGGGCTTGTACCGAGGAAGTCCTGGAGGGGACCAACAGCTGGGGCCGTCATCCAGCAGCACTCCCAGCGGCTGGGGAAGGTGACCTTCATTCCTGAAGGGGGGCTCTGATCCCCCCCGCCCCATCAGAGTGCACACCATAGTGATACAGGGTTCTGTGTTAACCAGGTTGTGTTAACACTCCTGGTAGAAACAGCCACTTTCTGAGCACCCCTATACCAGGTGTTTAGCACGTACTGTGGAATCTTTACAAACTGAGCTGCCCAGAGTGGCACACTAGTCCAAGCAGAACTTAGACGTGAACCCACCCTGTCCAACCCTGAGCCTGTGTTCCTTAGCCGCTCTGCAAGCACGGGGCTAGGCAGTGGTTTAAAGCAGGAGAGTCGGCGATCTTAAGGACTTGAGCACCTCCTTATGATTCGTCCTCCTCCACACCTATCCTCTTGCTGGATTACGATGTACCTCCATTTTTCAGATGGAGAAACTAAGGCTTGTGGAGTTTTGGAAAGCCAGCTGGGGAGCTGAGCTACTGGTAGATGCTAGGGCCTTCCTTGGCCCCGCCCATCGCTTCATTTCGTGGCCTTCTCTGAGACCCTTTTGTGC